GTTGAATTTTATTACAAGTCCCTGCAACTTTCAAGATCCAGAACTTGTAATATCTGGAACTTCAGCAAACAAGAATGCAGTTCTTTGAAGCTCTCAAGTGTGGTGAGGGATCGAACGTGAGACATGTTTCATCCTCTCTGCCTTTTCTTTTTCTTCACTTCTCTGGACGACAACCTGCGAACCTTATAACTTGGGAACGGTGTCTGCCAGTGACCACGCACTACTGTGATGAAATTCTCGGTGCTTGACTTGGAAACAATGTATTCAAGAACCATGTCATGAATCTGATAGTTTTTAACCTTTCCGTTACTTCACTGAAGCAGTCTTGGGCTACTTCCTCAACGGTCTTGCCATGCTTCTCAATAATTAATGAACCCTTCTGCCATCCATCTTGTGATCAAATGCTTTCTACTGATGGAGCGTCCCTTGGGAAACATGGTCCCAGCTCTTGTACAGGAAGCACGTCTTGAGATCAGCCGACAAATCAGTGTAGCACTTGTCAAGTATTTTTGTTACTCCTTGGGTTGGGTGGTGGGAGTAGCTCCCAGTTCTCGGATCAGGGTAGTGGTGCTTGGGACCGACCAGGCCCCAAGCAGAGGTCAACGTTCCACTAATCCATCCATACCAGGGCTGCTAGTCAGCACGGTAGCTATATCTCGCTTATAGCGAGGTTTTTTCGAAGAAATTGCTTATAGCCAGATGATAGCTCCAAGCGCCTGCACAAATGAGATGGCCCATGAACATTCGTTTGGTCACTATAGGTTTGGGTTTTCTTCTCTTTTTTTGTTCTTTTCAATTTCCTTTTGTTTTTCTTTTGGTTTTCTCTGTTCTTCATTGGGTTTTTTTGGTTTCTCATTTTTTTTCACCGGTTTTCTTTGTTCTTTTACAGTTCTTACTGTTTTTTACTTTTAATTTCTTTTCTTCTTTGTTTTCGTTTGTTTCTTTCTGGGATTTCACAGTCTTTTTGCTTTTCTTTGTTTCTTTGTTTTTATTTCTTTCTTTTCTCAGTTTTATTTGTTTTTTGGTTTCCTTCTCGGGTTTCACTTCTTCCATTCTTTTGCACTGGTCTTTCTTTTTCCTTTTCCTTTTTTTGGGTTTCCTTGTTTTATTTTTCAGTTTTTACTGGTCTTCTTTATTTTTTTTCTTTGTTTCTTTGTTGACTTTCATTGGTTTCTATTTGTTCAACACATGTCTGCTTTTTTTTCAGTACACAATATAAATTTTTAGTGTACATGTGAAATATTTATTTCCAACATATTGAACATTTTTCAAATACATGATGCAAATTTTCTTTTAATACATGTTTTGAACACTTTTTCTTATACATGTTGAACATTTCTTCTTTATTTTAACTTCCCAATCATTGTTTTACAATGTATAAACATTGTTGTAAATGTCACAAATAGTTTATTAACGTGATAATATTTATTTAAAACTTCACGTACAGTCTGTTAATGGTACCAAACGTTTTTTTACATTACATAAATTTTTTTACATTCAAGATTTTCACACAGTTCATTGAAATGCAGGGACATTTTTCATTGCCACAAATATTATTTTGAATCTTTCAACCTTGTTTTACGTGCACTACATTTTTCAAGTTCATGGTTTTAATTTTTCAAAATAAATTTAAGTTTTCACGACATCAAAGTCAAATATTTTTTCAATACATGTTGAATATTTTTTTGATACAAGATGTACATTTTTTAACAGTCCCTCTGTTCTATAATATAGTGTGATATTTTCTAAAAATACCAAATTTGTAAACTTTGACCAAGTTTACAGAAAGAACTATTTATATTGACAATACCAAATATATAAAACATGAAACTACTTCTTATAGTGAATCTAATGATACATGCTTGGCACTCTAAATGTAAATATTTTTCTCCAAAAACTTGGTAAAAGTGTGTGAGGTTTTACTTTTTGAAAAATCTATTTTCACTGAATTATGGAATGAAGGGAGTACATGTTTTGAACACTTTTTTGAATACATGGTGAACATTTTTTTACAAATATACGTTGAACAATTTTACATGGACATAAACACTTTTCTAAAACTAATGTTTAACATTTCATATGGTCATAAACCTTTCCTAAAACTATGCAGACATTTTTTTACATTGTATGAACATTTTTTAAATGCCACTAAAATTGTATACAATCTCTGGAACATTTCTTTAAGATATTATGCACATTTTTTAATGGTATGAAATATTTTTTGTATACTATGCAAAACATTTTTTACATTATATACATATTTTTCAAAAAATAAATCACATACATTTTCTGAAATGCATCATTTTTTTTAAAATTACGCTAACATTTGTTTAACATTTTTTAAATTCATGGTTTGGATGTTTTTTAGTAAATTTAAGTTTTTAAAATATATTCACTTAAAAAACAAAGAAAAAGAAAATGGAAAAATTGTGTGTCTTTGCCATGACATTGTGATGACGTCAGCGTGGCTAACTCACTTCCTTACTGAGCCGACCTACTTCGTATTAAGCAAGGCATAGTCGTCCCTGATGGCTGGATCATTTCCTACGGGCCGGTGTTGTTCCCTGCTTTTGCGCCACTACTTCTGTCATGACATCAACGTTGGAGTCATTGGTGTGCCATGTATCGTTGTAAGGGCATATACGACTGGACTGGACAAATTCCTTCTCAAATCTTCGTGGACGCGTCTGCTCAGTGTTCGGGCATGTCTGTTTGAGCCTCTATTTATTCGTATGAGCAGCCATGCTCTCTACTTTCTCTACTATATGCATGTCTAGCCACATGCATGTCTAGCCACATGCATGTGATTAATGGAGATGGAGAGAAAAGTAATTAAAAGGAGAAAATGTGGTCCGTGATGACCAAATCCTATTTGGCACTCTGACTAGACGTGTCTAGGCATCCTCATATCCTCTCCATATATGTGCTAGGTACAAGAGTTTGTGAACTATGCGAACATATAAGGATGAAGTGTTGTCTCGAACATTTAGGGAGAATTGAAGTGGGCAAGCTGTAGATGCTCTAAGGCTAGTCATTGGGGAGTATTTTAATTAGTAACATGCATATGTTAATAGTCTATATTATCACCATCGTAGTAGGTAGTATCACAGGGGGTGATAATATAGATAACTTATTTCTTACTTTGTAGAGTCATTTTACATCGGAAACCGCAATGTGATGGTAGCGTGTGTGTGTCTATATATATAGTCTGATTTCCATCGTAGTAGGTAGGGTTTAGGGTCACGTTATTCGTCACCCTGGGTGAGGAATAGTTATTCTTCACCCCCCCCCCCTCTATTTTACCATCAATGCATCATAATTTTACGTTCCGTAAGTTTTGTCTTATTTTCGGCGTAAAAAGAGACCGTAAGAAAATCTATAATCATCGTAAAAAAGATTTTATGTTATGTAAAATTACAAACGTAAAAACATAGTGTAAAATACACATAAACTGCAAATCTATAATCACGCCAAGCAATATTGATTTGTTTGGTTTGACCAATATTCTGCTATTTGAAATAAATCTGAATGTTATTGTTTATTATTCTTATGGAGTGTTTGGCAGTGCGAGCACGTAGTATGGGGTGCATGGGGTGGCGCATAATAGAATGAAAGAATGGGGTGCATGGGGTGGCGCATAATAGCACGTAGAATATTTTTATTGAATATAAGTAGAATAATAGAATGAAAAGTATTTTCCCATGCATGATTGCATATGGTGGTGGGTCATTTTTCATGGATGGTTGCATGTTGATGTGGGCCTTAACCCATACATAATCGTATGGTGGTGTGTCATGCTTGCATGTTGGGACAAATAAGTTAGTGGGGATCACTTCCTTAGGTATATAGCATTCATTTTTCCTTAAAAAGCAATATTTTCTTTGTTTTTGTCCTTGTTCATTTCTTCTGCGAGGCAATATAACTTTGAAAATTCTTTCTTTCTTCGAAAGAAACATTTCCTATTTCTTTTGTTTTGTTTATTTCCAATTTGAGGTATGATGTGGACATGTCTGCTTCCGATATAACCAGACATATTACGTGCAAAATAAATTATATATATTTTTTAGTAATTATAAATTATATTTTTTTATTGTTGAGAACAAGAAGATTAGTATGTTTCTGTTGTGCGACACAAATGAAGATGGAGATTTATACACACCATGGTCAATATGCATAATTACCGGTCATTTTTACAAAATTCTTTCTAATCAAGTTGAAATGGCATAATCATGAATTCTAAGATAAGATGAGATTAGGCTCGTACAAGTTGTATCATCATCAGGAATGCAAAACTTGCATCCCTGGAATGAAAACTTGCATGCATGTACGGTGTGGGTCAATGCCAGCAAGAAACGGGCCCATCATGAGGCTTTTGATCGACTCGAGCGGTAGCGTTCACCGCGCAGACAAGCCCATGGGCAGCACGTCCTATTGTCCCATTCGATATTATTCCAAGGGTCCAGAAAAAAGTGAATAGAACTTTAACAAAATTCAGACACCTGACATAAGCTGCTCCCTTTATTTTGAGGGTAGAACAGTGCCGAAAACGTTCTTATATTATGGGACGGAGAGAGTAGAAAAAAAACTGAAAAAGCCTACTAGCAAAGTGGGTTTTCATGTTGTCATCATGACCTCGCCCTTGCTTAACTTGCAGCTTTCACTAGTGCGGACGCACACGCCAGGTCTGCCTCTCCATCGACATTCCCTACACGACTTGGTTGTAAGGCCAAGCAACATAGATATGTGGATAAGTGGCTCCTTTTTTTTTTGTTAACAACACCACGTCGTGGCTTATAATCTCTCTTACTTGGCTTTGAATTGAGGTGGATCGAATGCCCACCCACCAAGTGCAAGTGGTTGCCCTCATAGGCTGATGCTATGCATGTAGGAGTATATATATAATGTTTGTAAACTCAGGTCGGCAGCAAAACGTATAATTTTTTCTCCGTCGAGGCTGGAGGAGGACCGCAGTTCCAGACATTCATACAGCATAGGTGGTCATGGAGAGCAAGAGCAATTCGCTCTTGGTGGTCGCTGGGCTCCTCCTGGCAGCTGCTGTGGACGCCGGAGAAGGGTGCGCGGCGTGGCGGAGGCTGGAGAACACGGTGGAGCCGGAGCTGGACTACCAGGTCCGAAGCCTTGCTCTATCTCCTGGTGATATCAGGCCGGACGTGTACAAGCCAAACAAGCCGGTGTGCATCCCGGGTCAAGGCTGTGCTAAACCTGGAGAGCGCTACACACCTCATTCCGGCTATGAGTGTAGACACTACAACAGAGAAGCGGGCTGCTAGGCTCGACCATGCATATGCTCGTACACTGATTTGTTTATGTACACATACGCAAGGAGTGATAATCTCGACGCGGATAGAAAATCTAGTCGTTGTTTATTCGTGTGATGAAATGTATCGGCCATATAGACAAGGGTGAAGAAGCGAGCAAGGCTGTCTTTCCACTGGAAACCCTATACCCGAGTGCTATTTGATCTTAATGAGTTGTCATTGAGATTGATTTACTCGCTTTTCTATTTGCATTTCTTGTTAAGTATGTGGGTGACTCATCGTCGTGAGATCTGTCGGTCAGGGGCTCTTTCTTTTCAAGTTGTCTCAGTCAACAAACTTGGCTCCACAATACAAGTCAGTTGGGGCTCTCTTTTTCTCATTTAGATCCCATAACAAGATTAGATAGCACCACTCTGGAATTAAAAAACAGTAAGACTCGGCTACCTACGAGCACATCGATTTGAGCTCCTCGGCCATCTGATCCACTTTTTCAATGGTTCAGACCACTGGGTCATCCCACCGCATGGAACATGGCCAACCTGATCAGCCATGCCACACATCATCACCAGCAACGTCTCCTGGGCCGCTATCCGGAGACCATGTTTGGTACCCTTGGGATAATTTAATTTGTTGTTTGGTACTACAATATTTAAACTCAAGAAAATAGGCAATTATATGATTCTGTGTATTTTTATTATCTGAATTAAGTAATAAATATTAACCTTCCACTAAAGAAGCATGTTGCCTTGCTTTCATAATTAAATGGATTAACTAAATCAGTAATGATGTATTGGACCAATTGTGGGCGATGAATCACTAGTAGAAAAAGGGTCAAATGTGAAGCATAGTGCCGGTTTGAATTTGAGCCGGCACTAATGTGTCCATTAGTGCCGGTTCCAACGGCTAGGCGGGCGGATATCATCAGTACCGGTTCGTGGGCAACCTTTAGTACCGGTTCATGCCACGAACCGGTACTAATGAGGTTGTGTCAGACTGTGGTCAGGCTGGGGCCCCATGAACACCTTTAGTACCGGTTCATGGCATGAACCGGTAGTAGAGTTTCTTAGTAAGCTGATTTTTAGTCCCACCTCGCGAAGAGAGAGGCTGTAGGAGCGGTTTATAAGCCGTGAGTGCAGAGACGATGAAGGAGAGGCGCAATGCTCACCTGCAAGTTGCTTAGAGCATCTCCGGCCAGGCCCTCAAGAAGCCCTCCCCAGCCACTTTTTGGGCGCCGGCTGGCAAAAAACGCTCCACTCAGGCTCTCAAGTGCTCGTTTTTCGCCGGCAAAAGCAAAAAACGGCGCCGACAACCCCATGCGACACCCAGCGCATAGGGGGGCTCCTGGGGAGGCTAATCTCGCCGTTCTAGGCGCTGGCCCACCTGCCAGCGTCTTCCTCCTGTCCCCTCACCTTTTCTCACTGGCCCACCCACTTGCTCCCTCCTCTCTCTCTCTCTCCCTCCACGCATGCACGCACACAGCATGGAAGCCATCCGCTCCCGTCCCCGCCGCCTGGCACGCCGCTCCGCTCTCGTGTCCATCGCCGGAGGGCCACCCACGCCCAGCCGCCCGGCCACCTCAGCCTCGCCGTCGTGCTCCCTGTAGCCCGGCCGCTGATGACCCACAAGTATAGGGGATCACAACATCTTTCGAGGGTAGAGTATTCAACCTAAATTTATTGATTCGACACAAGGGGAGCCAAAGAATATTCTCAAGTATTAGCAGCCGAGTTGTCAATTCAACCACACCTGGAAACTTAGTATCTGCAGCAAAGTGTTTAGTAGCAAAGTAATATGATAGTGCTGGTAATGGTAACAAAAGTAAAGACAACAAAAGTAATGTTTTTGGTATTTTGTAGTGATTGTAACAGTAGCAACGGGAAAGTAAATAAGCGTAAACCAGTATGGAAAATTCGTAGGCACCGGATCAGTGATGGATAATTATGCCGGATGCGGTTCATCATGTAACAGTCATAACATAGGGTGACACAGAACTAGCTCCAATTCATCAATGTAATGTAGGCATGTATTCCGTATATAGTCATAGATGCTTATGGAAAAGAACTTGCATGACATATTTTGTCCTACCCTCCCGTGGCAGCGGGGTCCTATTGGAAACTAAGGGATATTAAGGCCTCCTTTTAATAGAGAACCGAAACAAAGCATTAGCACATAGTGAATACATGAACTCCTCAAACTATGGTCATCACCGGGAGTGGTCCCGATTATTGTCACTTCAGGGTTGCCGGATCATAACACATAGTAGGTGACTATAGACTTGCAAGATAGGATCAAGAACTCACATATATTCATGAAAACATAATAGGTTCAGATCTGAAATCATGGCACTCGGGCCCTAATGACAAGCATTAAGCATAGCAAAGTCATAGCAACATCAATCTCAAAACATAGTGGATACTAGGGGTCAAACCCTAACAAAACTAACTCGATTACATGATAAATCTCATCCAACCCATCACCGTCCAGCAAGCCTACGATGGAATTACTCACGCACGGCGGTGAGCATCATGAAATTGGTGATGGAGGATGGTTGATGATGACGACGGCGACGAATCCCCCACTCCGGAGCTCCGAACGGACTCCAGATCAGCCCTCCCGAGAGGTTTTAGGGCTTGGCGGCGGCTCCGTATCGTGAAACGCGATGATTTCATCTCTCTGATTTTTTTTCTCTCTGAAAGCAAATATATAGAGTTGGAGTTGGCGTCGGAGGGTTTCCAGAGGGCCCACGAGGTAGGGGGGCGCGCCCCCACCCTCGTGAGAAGGGTGTGGGCCCCCTGGTCTTCATATTTGGCGAGGATTTTTTATTGTTTTTTCTAAGATGTTGCGTGGAATTTCAGGTCATTCGGAGAATATTTGTTTTCTGCACATAAAACAACATCATGGCAATTCTGCTGAAAACAGCATTAGTTCAGGTTAGTTCCATTCAAATCATACAAGTTAGAGTCCAAAACAAAGGCAAAAGTGTTTGGAAAAGTAGATACGACGGAGATGTATCAACTCCCCCAAGCTTAAATCCTTGCTTGTCCTCAAGTAATTCAGTTGACAAACTGAAAGAAAGAAAGGAAAACTTTTACAAACTCTGTTTGCTCTTGTTGTTGTAACTATGTCAAGCCAGCATTCAAGTTTTCAGCATAAATCATAACTAACCGCATTTGCAATAATTCTCAGGTCTCATAATTACTCATATCAATAGCATAATCAACTAGCAAGTCATAATAATAAATCTCGGATGACAACACTTTCTCAAAACAATCATAATATGATATAACAAGATGGTATCTCGCTATCCCTTTCTGAGACCGCAAAATATAAATGCAGAGCACCTTTAAAGATCAAGGACTGACTAGACATTGCAATTCATGGTAAAAGAGATCCAATCATAGTCACACCAACATAAATTAGTAGTGATGAATGCAAATGACAGTTGTGCTCTCCAGCTAGTGCTTTTTAATAAGAGGGTGATGACTCAACATAAAAGTAAATGGATAGGCCCTTCGCAGAGGGAAGTAGGGATTTGTAGAGGTGCCAGAGCTCGGTTTTGCAATAGAGATAAATTGTATTTTGAGCGGTATACTTTCATTGTCAACGTAACAACTAAGAGATGGCGATATCTTCCATGCTACACACGTTATAGGCGGTTCCCAAAAAGAATGGTAAAATTTATACTCCCCCTCCATCAACAAACATCAATCCATGGCTTACTCGAAACAACGAGTGCCTCCAACATACATCAGGTCCTAGGGGGAGTTTTGTTTGCAATTAATTTTGATTTAGTTTGCATAAAGCATGGGACTGGGCATCCCGGTCACCAGCCATTTTCTTGTGAGTGAGGAGCAGAGTCCACTTCTCTTGAGAATAACCCGCCTAACACGGAAGATAAGGACAGCCTTGGTTGATACATGAGCTATTCGAGCATACAAAACAGAATGTTTATTTGAAGGTTTAGAGTTTGGCACATACAAATTTACTTGGAACGGCAGGTAGATACCGCATATAGGAAGGTATAGTGGACTCATCTGGAATAACTTTGAGGTTTAAAGGATTGGATGCGCAAGCAGTATTCCCGCTTAGTACAGGTGAAGGCTAGCAAAAGACTGGGAAGCAACCAACAAGAGAGCGACAACAACCATGTACATGCATTAAAATTAATAAACATTGGATGCAAGCATGAGTAGGATATAATCCACCATGAACATAAATATCGTGAAGGCTATGTTGATTTGTTTCAACTACATGCGTGAACATGTGCCAAGTCAAGTCACTTAAATCATTCAAAAGAGGATACCACCCCATCATACCACATCATAACCATCTCAATAGCATGTTGGCACACAAGGTAAATCATTATAACTCATACTAATCAAGCATGGCACAAGCAACTATGATCTCTAATTGTCATTGCAAATATGTTTGTTCATAATAAGCTGAATCAAGAACGCGGGACTCATCATATTTACAAAAACAAAAGAGGTCGAGTTCATACCAGCTTTTCTCATTCCAGTCAGTCCATCATATATCATCATAATTGTCTTTCACTTGCACGACCGAATGGTGTGAATAATAATAAGAGTGTACGTGCATTGGACTAAGCTGGAATCTGCGAGCATTCAATAAATAGGAGAAGACAAGGGAATATGGGCTCTTGGGTTAATTCAACAATAATGCATATAAGAGCCATTTCAATAATTTAATTATGGTCTTCTCCTACTGACCCCCAAAGAAAAGAAAAGGAATAAAACTATTTACACGGGAAAACTCCCAACAAGCAAAAGAAGAACGGGACATATTTTTGGGTTTTCTTTTTAATTCTTACTACTACAGTAGAAAAATAAACTACTACTAATTTTTTTTGTTTTTCTTAAGGTTTAACAAACACACAAGAAGAAAGCAGGAAAAAGAAAATAAACTAGCATGGATATTACAGTGAAAAAGTATGAGCACAGACATCTAGCAATGAGTGTGTGTGAACATAAATGTAATGTCGGTGAGAAATA